GACTGGATGATCAGAGCTCAACCAGAAGAAGAAAGAAGAGGAAAAAAAGCGTAATCTGATACAATTTGATGAACTTGACCTACACCTATGGATGCAATAGCTCAAAAGAGGAAACAAATCCTTACAGCAAGAATCATTTCCAACCCCTCCACACACAGAGTAGACAGGGATGGGCAACTTGGACACTGGCTACCCAAAATGGGAGGTGGGGGGGATCCAGAGGGTGTGGAGGAAGGTACAATCTCCAGTGAATAGTATCCAATCTGTCTAGGTGGAGCTGATGAAATGAAACGCAGATAGGTCTCTAGTGATACAATAGTGAAAAATTGTTATCAGGACTGATTGTGAGGGTTGGAAATGTAAAGGCAGACATTTTATAGCAAGGTGGGGAGTGATTAACTTTTCAGTCTAGGAGCTGAGGTCCCTAGGACTATCAATGGAGAAGAGTCGAGAGCAGGACCCTACCCAGAGAAGCAGTGATGCCTGAGATGGAGGCAGAGACTATGATGTGGAGAGATGGAGCAGCTGGAGACTTGAGATCCAGAGAGGGAGAGGGGCTGTGTGCTGATGACTGGGAGGTGGGCAGGCTGATGATACATGGAGGGGACTGTAACGATGGCAATGAAACAATATACGATAGAATGAATGTAAAACTAATGTTCTCCCATGTAAACTATCACATAATTCACAATAAAACATTTTTTTAAAAAATTGTGAGGATGGTACAGAACCAGAGAGCCTTTCGGTCTGTTGGACATAGAGTCACTATGAGTTGGAACTGACTGGAAGACATCTAATGAAAACATCGTCTGTCTAATAATGTCCCCTGTACAGGAAGAGTACTGGTGTGGTGCTGTGGGATAAAGCACTGGACCAAAGTCAGTTAGAACTGACTAGTCACTTAGAACTGCAAAATCAGATGTTCAAATTCACCAGCCATTCCCCAAAGGCTAGCTATGAGTCGGAACCAACTCGACAACACTTACCAACACCAACACAGGAAGACAAGGAGCTCTGGCAGCCTAATGAATTACAAGCTGAGCTGCTAATCACAAAGTCAGCAGTTTAAATCTACCAGTAGCTTCACGGGAGAAAGATGAGGCTTTCTGCTCCTGTAAAGACTGGAAGACCTATACAGGATTGCTATGAATGATAACCAACTCGGTGTCACACAACTATCACCACCATAGGAAGAGAGTAATTGCTACTTAGTATTCCAAGACCGTAAATCTTTACAAAAGCAAGCAACCTCAACTTCCTCATGCAGAGCACATGATGGGTTTGCACTGTCGACCTTGTGGATACCAGCCCAAAGTTTAGTCCACAGACTAAATAACATGCATCAATTTACATGAAGTTAGAGAAAAGGCAAAACTATAGCGGTAGAAAGCAGATCTAATAGTTACCTAGGCAGAGCCCCAAATCAACAAAGGCATTCTTACTACACAATTTGATTCTAATACTTCATTATTCGTGTTTAAATGAGCTGAGTTATATAACAGAATTCATTTAACTATACTATCTCCCCATTTCCATTCCATCCTTCTTTATAAAATTGCTTAGCCCATTATCTCTAAGGCACTGAAATTAACTATTTAAAGTGTAACAAGCGGATACTACATGAATAGGTACATCCATATAAAAGAGATCTACAAAGATACATGAAGTCCTGGTGTGGTGCTGCAGGATAATGCACTTGACTGCAAGGTCACTATGGATCAGAACCAACTCAACAGTAGGTAACAATAACAACAAAGACAGCAAACAAAATAATGGTATCAGGAAGAGCAATGGAAGGACATTTACTTTTTAGTTATTTTCTACTATAGGATAAAGAACTGGACTGCAAGGTCAATTTGAACCACAAGGAAGGTGGTTCAAGTTCACCAGTCACTCCTTGGAAACCCTATACAGGGTCCCTTTGAGTCAGAATCAATTCGACAGCACTTAATAACAATATTTTAAAAATTAAGTCACACAATTCTTAGCAGCACAGTAGGGTATTTTACATTTTTGAGAGAATCACAGTTAACATTTGACCACATGAACAATTAAGGTATTTTCAGTTTCAACACTGTTGTTGAGTGCTATCAAGTTGGGTCCAACTTATAGTGACCCTGTATAGGGTTTCTAAGGAGTGGCTGATAAGTTTGAACCACTGACCTCGCAGTTCAAACAGACCTTGTGGTACAGTGCTTACCCTACAAAACCACACCAGGACTCCTACCTAACTCACTTACAGATCTAGATTTCTGTTGATGATGTCAACTCTATATATCTGGGTTTTCAGTAACTGCTTGATTAAAAAAACAAAAAAACAAAAAAAACTGCCTTGTTGGTGAAGAGGTTAAAACACTTGTCTGCTAATGGAAAGGCAGTTCACATCCACCAGCCACTCAATGGAACATGTGGCAGTCTGCTTCCATAAAGACTTACAGCCTTAGAAACCCTATGGGACAGGTCTACTCTGGCCTATGCTGTTGCTGTTAGGTGTCACTGAGTGGGCTCCGACTCATAGACCCAATGAACAACAGAACATAACATTGCCCTGTCCTGTGCCATCCTCACAATTGTTGTTACTGCTGCCGCTGTGCCAATCCAAATCAGTCCAAGTGACCACATGGCAGTGGCTTTGACTTAGTGTTGGTGGCACAAGTTAGAAATTCGGCTGCTCACTGAAAGGTCTGTGGTTGAACCCACAGCACTAGGGTTCGTTACTTAAAACACATACTTCCTAAGTTGTCTGAACTGATCACTGGTGGAGCTATAGCTTAGGCATTGGACAGCTAACCACAAGTTTGATAATTCAAACACACCAGCCATTCCACCAGGAAAGATGAGGCATATAAAGCTGTCTGCTCCCATAAAGATACACAGTCTCAGAAACCCCAAAGACAGGTCACTAGGAGTCAGAATAGGCTCGGTGGCACTGCTTTGGTTGGTTTGGGTTGGTTTATTTTCTTTTTCATTCTTGAAAAGAACATGGACTATTTCTTTTGATCTACAGGTATCAAAAAAACCTGATACACAAAGGTGTCTTAAATCCAGAAAGCTTAGCACTCTCTCCTCTAGGCTCCCCCAAAACAAGAATAACCTTCCCACTCAGTCCTGATAGGAGTCCTGGTATGGTGCTGTGGGTTAATGCCTCAGACTGTAAAGCCATCTGAACTGCAAGGTCGGCAGTTCAAACTCACCACTTGCTCCTCGGAAACCCTATACAGGGTCACTATGGGTCGAAATCGATTCGACGGCACTTCACAACAACTCAAGTCATGGAATATTTTTCCTGTACTTACCTCAGTGTTTGAAGCAACTAAAGAAAACTCATGAGAGAGATCAAGCTTAATGCCATCAAAATTTATTTCTGAAGGCCTTTCAATTGGGTCAGCACTGAAAACATAAGATGGTCTAGGCACTGCATCTTGGTTCAAATTTGATTCCATTCTGCAAAAATAACAGCACCTTCTTCAGTTAACATGTAAACCATCCCTTACTATAAACCTAAAACTACAATGTAGGAAAAGATTTAGCGGCTTCAGCTACAAAACAATGATCTATGCAAAAAACAAAATATCAAATTATTTACAGATTTTAAATCAAACAAACATCGAACCTAGCCTGCTGCTAGGGATCCTGGTGTGGCGCTGTAGGATAAGCAATGCTAACTGCAAGATAGGCGGTTCAAACCCACCAGCCACTCCTTGGAAACCCATATAGGCTCGCTAAGAGTCCGAACCCAATGGACAGCACTTTATATGCCTGTAAGGAGCCCTTGGTGGCGCTGTGTGTTAGGCGTCACGCCATTAACCACAAGAACAGTGGTTCAAACCCACTAGCTGTTCCGCGGAAGCAAGATGAGGCTGTCTGTTCCCATAAAGGCTCAGGAAATTCCCAGAGTAGGAATCTGCTGAATGGCAACCGGTTCATCTAATTTCGGGCGGCGACCAGATTTAAATCCTGGCACAAGTCATAAGGGCTCATTCAGTCGGCTGTTGTTGTCGTTGTTAAGGGTCATAGAGTGGGTCCCGGCTCACAGAGACTCTCTCTAGGTATTCCAAGGAGTAGCTGATGGGTTTGACCGGCCAACCTCAATGAGCTCTAACCCATGCTAAGCCGACTGGATGCTGTGCACACCAGCTTCTTCCAGCCCTCACTTCACAGGAGCCCGCTGAACCCTCTAAACTCCGCAATCCAGTCCCTGACCTCAGGGGCGCCAGTTCTGTTAGGAAATACTGATTGCCAAAGCCGTTTGCCACCTAAGGCCGGTATATACGCAGTCACCCACTTCTTTCACTGCACCCTCCCCTGGGTACCTTCCTTACCTGCCCAGGTCGCCGCGCCAGCTAGTAAGACCTCGGAATTTTCGATTTCAAATTCAAACAATGGCGGCCAGAGCGCCGCACTGAACGCTGGGAGTGGGCGGGGCGACTCGAGCGCCGCCGGCTGGGGCGTTCGGCTCTCCCTCGGTTTGGGGAAGAAGCTTTCGAACTGCGACCAATGACTGGAGGCAGGTTCGTGAGATGCCTGGGAGCGCGAGACTAGGGAGTGTCGAAGTTCCGCTGCTGCGATAGATACCACCCTCTGTTAGCGCGGACGCAGATTTTGGGTTCCGTCCTTCAAATTATAAGCACCCCACAAGCCCCCTATGGACCAGCTTAGGAGTGGTAGCTGCCGCTACCGTTAGTCACCGCCGGGACCCAACCCTACGCGGCCGGGACAAGCTCTGCAGCAGGAGACGCGCTCGGAACGAGCACCGCCGGCGTCCAGAGGGTCACTTGCCTCGCTGCAGAGCCTCCCTGCTGGTAACAGCGGCCTTCAAAGTTGCCCCAGATACACATTTTATAAGCCTTCTCCGGTTTGCCTTTGAATATATAAAGCAGCTACCGCTGCAAGGTTCTGTGCTAGGACACAGACAAGGTTTTCGCACTGACTCTTTGATGTGGGCGGTTCGGTATGAATAAATTCGCATGATATTTACTATATAGGTCGTCTTTTCCTGTTGTACTTCGTATTAAAGAAAAATAACTGCTAACGTTAATTGAGCGCTTTTATCTTTGTGCCAGGCATGGTGCTAAACATACAAGATTATTTTATTGATCCGCAGAGCAACCCTTTGAGGTTGTTGTTGTTGTTGTTAAGTGCTGTCAAGTCGGTTCCGGCACATAGCGACCCCATATAGGGCTTCCAAGGAGCAGCTGGTGAGCTTGAACCGCCGACCTTGCAGTTCAAATTGCTTTGCAATCTGGCGCATTAACCTACAGCGCCGCACCGGAACTACTATTATCCCCAGTTTATAGGTTCCAGGAACCCTGGTGGCACTGTGGGAAAAGCATTTGGACTACTAAGGATCGGGGGTTCAAACCCAGCTGCTCCAGGGAGAACGATGAAGCTGTCTGCTCCTATAAGAATGTCCAGTCTTGGAAACACGAAGGAGCGGCTCTACTCCGTCCTATAGGGTCACCATGAGTCAGAATCAACTTAATGGCAGTGGGCTGGTTTATAGGGGTCCAAGGAAACTTCAGTTCACAGGCTTAAGTAATTTGCTCAAAGCGTATACGGCTACTAATGGTGACGCTGGTGTTTAAACTCAGCTGAATGATTTAGAGCTCACCCTTTTATATGTTGTATTTTCAACTACTTTATTTGATTAGTAATTTTTAAACACCTAGTTTGAGTTTGGAGGCCTTGTGTGGCGCTGTGGGTTAATGCGCTGGACTGCAAAGTCGATTTGATCCGCAAGGTCAGTGGTTCAAGCTCACCAGCTGCTCCTTGGAAACCCTATACAGGGTCACTGTGGGTCGGAACTGACTCGACGGCCCTGAACAACAACAATAGCTTGAGTTTATAATCTTGCCTTTCAATTTATACTTCCCATGGCGCTGTGGGATAATGCACTGGACGGAAAGGTTAGTTTGAACTGTAAGAACAACGAAGGTTCAAATTCACCAGCCGCTGCTTGGAAATCCTAACAGCGTTGCTATGAGTCAAAATCATTTAACAATAACACCTAACAACAGCACTTAACAACAATTAAGACTCAACAGAGCTTAACAACACCTCTTTCCTCACTAACTTTCACACTCTCCTCATTCCATTCCTCTTCTTTACACAAAATAATCATATTTGTGGTGAGCCAAAAATCAGGCTGCTAACCTCAAGGTGGGCAGTTCAAAACTACCAGCCGTTCCGGGGGAGAAAGATGAGGCTTTCTGCTCCCGTAAAGATTTACAGCCTCGGAAACCCTGTACAGGGTCGCTATGGGTCGGAACCTGCTCCACAATACTTAACAACAGTTTGGAGTAGAGAAAAGAATAACAGGCCAAGAATAAAGAGGAAGGAAAAAAAATAGATGAGAATGGAGAAAAAGAATGAAAGAAAGGAGGGAAGGGTACAGACAAAGACTGCCATCTGTCAGGCAGTAACTCTGTTGCCTCCATGGCAGTGTCTAGGGTTTTCTCAGCTCTATCCCCAAAATCGGAGCTTCCTCTCGTGCTTCACAATATCTTATTGCTTTTGCTAGTTGCTACTGATTCCCAGCCCTTGAGTCCATGTGTTTGGCAATATGAGGGGGCTTCAAAAATTTTGTAGAAAAATGAAACTGAAACACAATGGATTTTTACCACCAACGTTTTGAAGCCCCCTGGTATGTGCCTGGCATATGCTATAGGATAAGCAAGTGATCTCAAGGTCTGTTTGAACAGCAAAGTTGGCAGTTCAAACTCACCAGAAGCCCCTTGGAAGCCCTCTACAGGGTCGCTTTGGGTCGGAATCCACTCAACAGCACTTAACAACAACAACAAGCAATTGTGGAGGACAGCAAACAAAAGATGCACTAAACATCAAGGAACGTGCTTTCTAATAGGGGAGAGAAGTTATAATACAAATAACTGAGAAATTACAATTGTCTTGAGTAGTTTGAAGGAAATATTTTTAAAGCTGTAAGACTATCTCACAAGGGAACCTGAACAAGTAATATTTGATCTAGATCTCCAACAATCTTTGGGAGTTAAGTAAAAAGGAGGACTGAGCATTTCAGCCAGAGGAACATCAAACCAGACAGAAGGCAAGAAGGGAATTAAAAATCCAACGGATTCTGATTCTTCTATTACTCCTGCTTCCAACAGCGTTCCACACAGTTGAATGTTTCGTCCATAAGAGGTTAAAGTTTCATTCTGGAAACACTCATTTGGTTTCTGGGTCACCATGCTTGTTTATTCCTAATCCCCCTGGTCACTCATCTTCATTTCCTTTCCTGTCTCTTCTACCTGAATTGAATTCTGGGATTTCTCAGATCTAGTACCTGAGCACCTCCTTTTCCTCTCTTCTAATCTTCTTCACAACTTCCTCAACTCCCTTGAGTTTAAATATCAACTTTATATAGACACCTCCCAAGTTTCTTATCTGCTCCAGAACTCTCCTCTGTGTGTCAACCAGATGCAAAGATCCAAATACCTACTATCCAAATCACCTGGATATCTAATAAATATCTCTAATATGTTCAAGGTGGGGCATTTAATTTTCCACTCCAAAGTCCAAATCCTGTCCGCCTTAGTCTTTCCTAGCTCAGTGATGACACTGCTGTGTATGTATCTGCCATTTATGCCCAGTTAACACTTTTGAGTCCTCTTTTTTCCTCCACCCATATCTAGTTGGTTAACAAATGTATCTGTTATAACACCATGTGAGGTGAAGTAAATGCTCCCTTTTCGTTGCTCAGAAAACCATGGCCTCTCAATTGGTCTCCTATTTAAGACCTTGCTCTGATCCAGACTACTGTTTATAGAGGAACCAAACTAATCTCAAAGTGGAAATGCTGGAAACCGTTAAATGACTTTTTAGAATAAAATAGTATTTTTATTAAGTAAAGAAAGCAAGATGCAAAAGAATATACAAACTGTACTATGGTGTAAGAAATAAAAATGAGAATATGCATTCTGATATATCTATATACACCCAACAAACATGCACATATTTAGCTTATTTTTAAAAAGGTAAATACAGAAACTAGTAGAAGATTAATTTTAAATGGTTACCTTTAGGGTAAGGAGCTCTGGTAGCATAGTGGTTATGAGTCAGACTGCTAACTTGAAGGCCAGCAGTTCGAAACTACCAACCATTCTGTGGGAGAAAGATGAGGCTTTCTGCTCCCATAAAGAGTTACAGCTTTGGAACCCCTGTACAGGGTCGTTGTGGGTCAGAACTGACTCCACGACACACTACTACCACCACCACTACCAGCAGCACCTTTAGGGTATGCGTGGGAATGGTCTGCAAGAACTAACAATGGCTCTTCTTTCCACCTGATGGGAGAAACCTGCAGTTGCCCCTTGATGACCACTCAGGTGCTTTGGGGACCTCAGTCACTGCTACACTTATTCTTGGAACGTGGAGCATTGTCTTTGTGGACTATGTTGTGCTGATCTAAAAAAACAAAAAGGTTATCCA